CGTGTAAGCCTATACCACCTTCATCTTCTATCTCTTATTGAGTTTAATTACGATACCTACCACCCTTTCATTAATGCTCTAGTATTCCTTTATGTTGCCACCTATGTTTCTGTGAATTAAGAACTCAACTCCCAGTTCTCTTCTATCAGCCAAGCCCCGGTAGCAAAAGACGTGCCCAATCTGTAGCATCGTATAGGCCTCATCTGTCTTCCTAACCTCACTGAGCCCTATTATATCCCATTTAACATCTTCTAGCTCCTCGAATAGTACAGCTAGACTTGCCTAACTAGATAAGGTTCTAGCATTAAACGTTGCCAAGTTCAGGTTTCAATGGCGGCCTGTCCGGATCCAGGGAGTCAATTCAGGTGCATTTAAATCACCAAGAACATTAATTACGTGCCCGCTGAGAGAAGGTATCGCAAGTTCAATGGAAGATATAACATCATGAAAGGAGGCACGGGAAACAATCCATGGGAAATAGGAACATTAAATCAACAACTTTTCCCAGTGCTCAAGGCTGATTTCTAACCAGATCAATTCTTTGCGAAACTCCAGGTGTTTCCTTCTAACAGATTTCATTGAACTGTTAATGGCAATCAGCACGCTACCGCCTTTTCGTTTGGTTGCACAGAAGTCTTTTTTCACTGAGGAAGGTAGTGAAGGTCGGGGGGAAAAAGTCAGATGAGGGAATCGCAGGGCCAAACCAAGTTTCTGATATACTGATAATAGAAAGAGAATTAAGACAAAAGAACATTGGCAAAAAACTCGTTCATCTTGGTACGCAGACCACAAGCATACTGGTTGAGAATGTCTACATTACACTGCACTTTCAACACAAGGCACTAGCTCAGAGGTATGAAGCATGTAATTGCGCAGCACCCCACAAAAGGCTTGAAGAGGCATCTGAGAGGCCACATCGAAGTGTCATTCAGGTGCTGCAGTGCTTTCTCGTCAACCTTGATGTAGAAAAAGAATAGGTTTGAAATTTACTTTGATTGTTTTTTGGCCTATGAAACGCCACCTTGGCACTGCAGCAATGCAGATTTGGCCACGCCGTCCACCTTTTCATTTTTCTGTGCTGCCGGCTGCCATTTTGTAGAGACCGAGACTCCAGGAGAAGCGGTGTTGCCAGAACAAAATGCCCCGAGATAAAGAGGCATCTTACTACTTAACCGTGAGAGGAAAAGTGCTCCTCGCTCTACGTTTCCAGCTCGCGCCGCTATGGCATGTGCTTATGTGAGGGAAGCCCTGCTCAGTCATTGGTTGCGTTCCGGTCATGTGTTACGGACATCGTGTCACATTGCTGAAGTGGGCGGAGTCACGACAAAGAGACACTTCTTCCCCCCTCAATGACCGAGAAGGGTGGCAAGTGGCCGTACTAAAATTTGAAACCAGCTGAAATTAATGCTATAACCCCTGTAACTTCCTTATTATAGCACGTATTCGCAAAATTCTTCTGGCAGCATGTTCACACAGCAAAAGAGCACATATTACTCTTTATTATAATTTTTGGAGCTCAGGGTTGTTAACTGACCCTTTAAAAATAATAATGAGAATATTAACCATGAGCTTGAGAAGTGGTCTCAGCCCCATTATAAAAGAGAAGATATTTCATTCATTATTTGTCATTCAAAAAGCTTGCATGGTCCCTAATGCATTCACCTAAGATGGCTGGATGGTCAAAGCCATTTTATTTTCTTCTTCTCAGTCGACTGTGCTGACTGACTCGAAGGAGATCTGCACCTAGTGGGGTCTTTCATTGGTTCTGGGATAGGAGGCATCGCAAAGCTTTAAACACCTCTGTGCCTGTGGGATCAGCCCACCTATGACTCTGCGACGATGACGTCATCATTTGACGCCACATTGTTGTGTCAGTGACTTCATGATGACAGGATTGTATGCAGAAATTGTTTTTTGGGGGATGGGGGGCTGTTCTTCATTTTTAAAGTGGGGGCTGGGCAGGCCAATGGTTATTTTGTGCTATGTATGCATGGTGAAAAAAATTCTGGGAGTGGCACGGGCCCAGAGTGCCACCCCCTGACTACACCACTGCATGATGACACAAAAAATTCTGCCGATATATGACGCCGTGAAGAGGTGTCATTTATTCATGATTTTTCGCAACACTCATGTTGCTGGCAACAATTACCTTTCATGTTTGATGAGGTGTCTGAGGCTTTCTTCCACTTTAATAACACTGACCACCATCGCGCCAAATGCCACATCACCAGGAGGGAAAACCAAACCACAAGAAAAAAAAAAAACAATGCTAGCACAAGGATGCGTAACGCCTAATATTTCGTCTTTGCCCTGTGCTGGTGACGTGAATTAAGACACTTCCAATTTTACTCAAGGTAAAATTTAGTTCAATATTCCTTCAGAAATGTCACTCTCGGATAAGTCCCATGGATCTTCCATATTTCACAAAATGGTGAAATTACCCAGCGTCTTACGAGAAAATCGTATTGCTGCGCTACTACCTTACGCTGGCCGAAAAATTCCAAAATTACGCTACAGCTGGCAACTGTTTCAGGCGCTGTTAGGGGTTGTCGTTCAATTGTGAAGTGGTGCGGTTAATTGTGATGTCCACCAACACTTGAGCCACCTTGCAAAGCAAGTGGCGAAACCGAAAAATCTCTAAAGTGAGGGTCTGCGAATATCCGAAAGTTTCAAGCAATGTATAGAATGACTGTATTCGATACGAGTTCGAATCGAATAGTACATATTTAAAAATAGAAAAGATTTTTCAGATAATTACTATCGATGGGAGAATCCCAAAACAAAGCCTTAGCACAGCTAAAGGTTATTTTTTCCCTTACGCTCCTGAAGTTGTCACTACGCAGCCCAAGCTTTCATGAGACTATGACACTATACCGATTAATTGGCGAATGAACGAGTTCCTTCTGAAAGCTGCCTTCGTGCTTACTTTTTACTATGCTTAAGCTCCTGTCATCATCTTGTAATAACTGAAGGTGGGGACTACGTCTGCTCGCAGCTTCACGAGTAACAACAGACACAAGTGTTCCATTTGCGTAAAGTGTTCTTGCCAGTGTATATTTAAACGCCAATGGATACACGCTTTCTGTGCGCAAGCCATGTTGTGATGGCAGGTCGATCAGCTTCATTCCTTATTAAGCTTTATCCATAGTGTTTGGTTGATAGTCGAGTTTTGTCCAAAACTTTAAAATTGGGCAACTAGGTATCGCATTAAAAAGGTCACTAAATGCTATATTTGAACCTACAGTTACACAATATTATAAAGCTCGTACAGTCCTACTTTATACGCACTTACTTTAGTTTTCAAAATTGTGGTTGAATCGATTAAAACAAACTTCAATGTTTTTTTGGTGAAAGTTTAATATTTGTTTCAAATAAAATGTGTTCTACAACTGCTCTAAATATCACCTATACTATTCGAAAACAATTGTCATACAATTCCAATATTATATCCGGTTCAAAAATTAACTATTCGCACACCCCTACCATAAAGTGATGTGGGCAGATTAAAGACAGCTTTGACCTGGACGAACCGAAATTGCTGGTGGTTGTGCCAGAAAGTGATCAAGCGAATCTGAAGGCCGTGACGTGCATAAGGCACTCGGTCAAGTGACGCCGAAGGTGTTATATTCGGCGACTTTTCTTGCCACTGGAGTGAAGGCTACAGAGCCAAATTATGTGCATCCTACCGCCAGTGAAAGTAGTTCCACAAGAGCGGCCATAGTTTCAACATTAAGTATAAAAATTCCTCCGTTATTTTCTTCGTGGAGCTATTTGAGACAGAGCACAGCTCACACCAGTAAGATATTCGTATTTCTTTTATTTACTCATTGTGACTTCACTTTTATGAGCGCGCGAGAAAGTCTCGCCTTAGTACATGAACCTCAAACGCTGACCGGCGTCTGTGTCTAGAGGAAATGCTGTTGGTGCTCCCCCGTCACTTTCCACAGCGTTACGAGAAGCGCGCCCCATCGGACTACTTCGCGTAGTGCTACAAGTGCCGAAGCTACGCCCCTGTAGCTTTCTCTTCGGTGCCACGAAAAGTTGTCGCCGAGTACAGGTAGCTGCCCTCGGTCATCAGTTCGGCTATAGACCAGCGCAGACCCAAAACCGAACCGCACGTGTTGAGCTCGTACCTCAAAAGCAGTGCTGCGTATCTTTTACTCTTCTGTCATTGGGTGCTACAACGCTAATGGAAGCACCAACTTATTCCTCAGATTCCTTCAAGAAAAAATCTGGTTCGAAACAGCTGCTACATATTACTTGCTTGGAAAAAACGCGGCAACCCTCCCAGAACAGCCGCCGTCTGACAGAGAGTCGGTTGGGCACTGCTAGACCATTCTCCCAAATTGCCTTCTCTGCGCACTGCAATAAGGGTGCCCTCAACACAAGCATTTAAATTAGAATGATGCACTGTTCTTCCCCCAATGTCCACTTCACCCGCTGTTGACAATCAAACATTTGTGGCACTCTTTTAGAAGCAGCTTGCACAAACAATAAAGAGTTCCTGCTGGGAGGTATTGAAAACTTTCTTATTTAGAGCCCCCCCCCCCCCCCCCCCCCCATCAGCCCAGCTACCTATTTGCTATTTCTACCTGTCGCAGCTGCAGAGTTCTCATGGTCATTTGTCTTGCTAGGAACGGTGCCGAGTACAGACAGCAGTACACCCAAACAAAATTCTGCTCTCCCTGAGAATGAAAGAAGTCCTGGCAATTTTACAGCAGTATCCAAAAATTTATGCATTGCAAGTAAAATGCCTGAATGCTGCAGCCAGAATTTTCGTTTAGAGCTATGCCAGCACAGCTCCACAGACCCAGTGCAGGGGAGATGCATCCGCTTCCCACTTGAGAAGCCTTAGTTTAAAAAGCAGCTGCAGATTGTCAAATTTGTTGTCTTTTCACTATACACATACCAAGTTACTTTTTATAGCAATACATACGGAAGCTACTTTCAAGAACCAAGTAAAAACAATATATTTGAAACATTGCAGAGAAACACAAGCATTTGAAGACTTTCCTTACAGACCTTTTATTCACAACGAAGCAGAACATATGATACACAACATGATGGTGGTGTTGTAGACATGAGAAGTCTTACTAAGTCACACTAATACCGAACTGCACGAAGTTTATGTGGATGTAGTATTCAAATGAGCTGAATATATATGAAAGAAATGTGGACACCTGGTTGAAAAAAGCAGCAATCCATGCAGCCTTATTTTTGAATGAGTGAGTGCTTGCAAATGATTTGTAGACTTAGGGCGTCTTCTGGGATCCCTTCTTGCCAATCAGAGACTTGTGGATGTGAGGAATCACACCACCACCGGCGATGGTTGCCTTGATGAGGGAGTCAAGCTCCTCATCTCCACGGATGGCAAGCTGAAGATGACGAGGAGTGATACGCTTCACCTTCAAGTCCTTGCTAGCGTTGCCAGCCAACTCCAACACCTGCAAGACCCCAAAGTTCTTTCATCAGGATTTATGCTCATTTACACAATATATATATATATATATATGAAGACTTTCAAGGCTATGTGTGCGACTTCTTGTTAGGTGCATTGGTTAACTGTCAGTTGTAGTTCATTTACACTCAACAGGGGTGAGACAACAGAGACTGGAAGCAGTTTTTGGAGCAGCAAAATTAAATTTTTGAGCAGACGAACCTTAGCACCACTTATTATGTTGTCTAAGAAACCTAAAAAAAAAAAAAACATTTGCAACATGAGGGCACTAGTGCACATTTTAAATCGCTTATAATACAAATTGCACTGCACTACCTCATTACAGACTTATCTAGCCTTTGTAACAAATGTGTGAAACATTAAAAAAGAGGGTCCGAAAAGTTCACCGGGAACATTTAAAAACGCATCACAATCTAAGAATTAAAAAAAAAAAAAAAACAGCAATTGCACAAAAATCTTAGTTGGAAAACACTGCGCCTTCGCGTAAAGGGGCACCGACAAAATATCCCAGCCTGCGGGGGTCAATTGCAGTGAACATTCATATATCCGCAAAAATCAACAGTGAATGTAGCTTGGAAGGTATTTTAAATTAATCTATTCACCTAGAAGTTCGCAGGAGCCCTCGACTCCGTGCCAACGACACCCTCGAAGGGGACCCTTAGGGGACCCCTGCTTTCTTCTAGTCACCATACTGCAGTTAAACAAGTGCTGACGTCACAGCCACTATTTCTCTTTTGCCGCATTTGTTCTTTTAGTCTATAGACCTTATCACTCGAGGCTCTCTGGGCGCAGCCAGTCTTCTCTGGGCTGTTGTCAGTGCATGCGACCCCCCAAGAAATGCACTGAAGAGGCTGCGACGTCTGCTTTTGTAGAAAGGAAATCCTCAAAAGGTCCATACTTCTCTGCGTCTGGTTGCAAGAGTGACTGGAACATGCTTGGAAAGTTGTTTTTGGCGACACTGCAGGCTCATTTCCCATTTGAAAGTAGTCTCGATGAGTACCGTGCGGAGGTGTGTCACTGTTCAGCGTGCTGACATGGTCAAGAGCTGCACGCGCTAGGTGGCGATAGCTGCACCTGAGGGCTTCTAGTTTTTGGAGCTCTCTCAAACCGGAACAGAAAATGGTCAATAAGGAGGGGTTCGTAATTATCTGTCGCATGCTGCAGCAAACGGTGCGTCATGTCATAATTAACAGAGCCACAGCAACATATTGCAGCAGAAAAACACAAGAAAAAAGGTTGTGTCAGAACCCCTTAGGGGGAAACTGGTCTTACTGACCCCCCCCCCCCCCCGATTGTCTGTTCAATTTTGAGATTCTCTTCACAATGTCTCGCGCCTGCCAGCATAAAATCGGCTCGGAATGACGAGTCTGCTTCACTTAAAAAAATTCCAAAAACTACAGAGTTTTGTCTTGCTCGTTTCATGCAAGCCACTCACCGGAATGAGGCTTTGAAAGAGCATTTTTCTGGCTTGCTTTCCCATTATATATAAACCTCCAAATGCTGCTGCTAACGTGCACTACCAGGCAAAAACAAGCGAAAGAACCACACCGTATCATTGGCCCATAGCGATCACGAGAGTGAATGGTGCCTGACGATTGAAGAATTACGCACGCGCAACCACATTCACAGCCATCCCTGAAAGTTTTGGTATCGGAATGGAAGCTTCAGAGCAGAAACTGCAGGGAAGTTTGCTCAAAATGGAGTTCGCAAAGAGCTGGTGGTAGCAATAACTGCAACCTGTTCGAGATAACGTTTGCATGGCGGGTGCTACGTATGCTATGTATGCAAAAATATATTTGTCGCTATGGGTGTTCCACCCCGAGGTCTTCATAGGAAAACCTACCAGCAGTACCTAAAAACAACTCCAGACAATCAAAAAAAAAGCTTGTGCCAATCATATGGCTAAATATGCTGCGACAGTGCAGAGCCTTCACAAGGACCTTAATTTTCGCAACTCTGAAAATATTGCAGTCTTTTGATGGAAACTGGCCCACAAGAGGACACCTCTCATAATGAAGTGGCTTCTGTAATAGAGGTTTTCATGTAGTGCTGTCCATTCCAGAAAAACACCTTACGCAAGGCTGGCCAAATGGAAGTAGAGGCAGCAATGATTTCATTCGCTTCATGGCCTCAGATATACCACCATGCTTTGCGATGATGACAGCCGGTAGTACAGTGCGGTAAACGAAGCCAAAGTGTATAGCTCTACCACTGTTGAGAAAGAAGACTGTGCGAACCATGTGCAGCAGAACAAAAGGGAGGGTGGAGAGCGCATGAGTGGCAAAGGACTCCTCACGGGTTACCTCATCACACAAGATTGAAGAGACACTACGCACGGGCTCTCAAATGCCATTCCGGGAATGTGGACGAGATGCACAACAAAGTTTGTGCTACATATTACCATGCGATGTCACCGGCTGAAAAGCTAACCTCAGCTGTTGTTCACAGAACCCCGAGTCATGGTGCACGCAAAATGCCACCATAGCAAGGAATGAGCCCATGCCAAAAACCAAGTACAACTTGCCAGAGGCTGTCAGCCATGCACTGCACCTTATGTGCGAGCACTTGTCTGACAAGAAGCTCCTGCAAAGATGCGAGAAGAAAAACGCAGAATGCAAATGAGGCAGTGCACTCTTTATGTGGAGCCTGTCATAAAAGGACAAGAATGAGTGGTTTGCTGTTGACTGCTGTGGCAAACGCTGTTACACAGTTCAACCTGGGAATGAGGAGTCTAGTTCACATATTTTGAATGAACTGCAGCTAGAGCAAATAGGACAAGGCAACAAGTGGGCTACCACCGTGCACCTAGCGAGAAGAGGAAGCGTGTAGCTTCATGCTTCTTCACGGCTGCCTGAAAATTGCTGAACTAAAGTCTGCTTCAGATAAAAGCTTTCACACGGATGCCCTCCGCTCTTTTACTGGTAGTGACCTTGCATGCAGCTCTCGAACAAATTCAGCGAATAGTTTCTAGATTTGGGTGCTTTGTAGTCCGTCCACGAAACGATTGTTTTTGGTTGTCTCAACAAGTGATGTGCTGCTTTTGGCTCCTTCAGTATCTGACACTTTTTGAATGCATTGAATTCCCATTGTGCCGTCAGGTTGCCATGCGCTGCTTGTAATCCGCCAAGTACCTAGCGTACCGGCTGAACACACCCTGCGCAGGTGTCCCCGAAAAGTTCACGGCGAGAAACCAGACAACAAAAACGCAGTGCCGTCGGCACAGTTGCCCTTTGCATGGTCTCCTAGATGGCGGGGGCACGGCGTAGAAACAACACTGCGCGCGCGCCCACCACTGCGGAGGCCATGCCCTTAGTTTTGGTGTCGCTGTGCTCGCGTGGCTAGCAAAGATGTTTGTCCTATTGAAACAACGGTTTAACGTTTCGATAGTCAACGGCACTGGCTACCACACAGAAATAAAATGGATTGATACATCAATAAGCGAGTAAATACGATATGGGTGACCACATGCAGCAGCAGCAGCGTCGACAAGATTCACATGAAAAATGCAGTGACCGGAATGTGCTACGCACAAAGAACTCTAGAGTTAACACCTCTACGCATGGCACTGTTTTGGTTGCCAAATCGGTTTTCACTAAACGACAGTGGTGCCAGAACACAGCCTAGCTAGCAAAAGCAGCACACTGAAAGCACGGTTAGAAGAGATTATGGTGGGACCATGGGAGCCTTCGTCGCCAGAAAAGTGAAAAGTAAAAAAAAACACCCAAAGAAGTCTGTATTCCTGGTGCTGCTCGGGAAAATAATGTAAACTCGGCCTTTTCTCCCCGCTGAAGCTGAGGTTGGCATCAATTTTTGTGTTTGAAGCTCTTTCAGCAGTTCGGTGCAATTTGAGTTATGCTTTTAGAGCAGCTTGGCACAAGAAAACAAACTTGTAAAAAAAAAAGCACTATATGCACAGCTGTCTCCTGCTGCTTGGTCGTGGCATCCTTCCTAAGGCTATTTGGCTTGATCAGATAGCTAGTTGCCCATGCCTGCTCTGTTGCTGTAGCAGTGAAGTTTTTAACTGCAGCTCCCAGTTTAATTTTTTAATGAGGGTTTCAACGTCTTCTCAATGCAACACGTCTTCCTGATCCCCCTGCCTTTTTAGTTTCCAAAAATCCACTGTGGTGGTTCCGCACAGAATTTTTTGATGCTTTTGTGATGGGCAGATTACATATGGAACCCACTGCAATTAAGGCATCACAAATATTGCACTGTGAAAGTGTGAATATGTAAAATAAAAATCAAGGTTTTGTAAAATATCCAGCACTTTTAAGCCCTTGAAAACAAACGTAAATTTCAAGGACCCTTATTAACTTTCACATATAAACTAGAGTAATGTGGAAAAATGTAAATTTAGCAGGAATATTTAAATCATTGCTTCAAAAATTTAAATACAAAGCTATTTGTAGGGCCGTATTGCAAAGCTTTACAATATGAGATACAATGAGCAATAAAATATACACATGCCTCAGCAGTCAGGTACTCCAAAATAGCTGCACTGTAAACAGCTGCAGTAGCCCCAACACGGCCATGACTGGTGGTACGATTTTTCAGGTGCCGATGAATACGACCCACGGGAAACTGCAACAAAAAGCAACAATGATAAAACTATAAAAGCACACTACTTGCACAAGAATGTGGCATGAATCAAACGGTATATGTGTGAAAATACATGCAACTGGTTGTTAGCTCTTTCGTCCCAAGCAAAATTGACACTATGGCTTTGGTGATAAACTATTGCTGACATGAGAGCGGCTGCTGTGTACTGAAACTAACATGAGGCCACCGGTATCTAGGGTAACAAAGTGACAAAAATTCCGGAAGAGCTGCATCGATTTTTCTTTTTCGACGCGCGTGAAGGTTTGGAGATTTGCTTTCTTAGCCAGTCTGACATCGTGTTCCAGCTTTACACCATTTGCTCTGGCCTACATGTAATGCAACACCCACTTGTCGCATGTCTCCTAGCTTGGAGCAAATGCATGGATCTTGGCATAATTCATGCAATTCGGCCTTATCCCATAAAAAAGGGGACATTTCATAACCACACTAGACAGGTACAGAATGTGAAAGGAACTTAAGGGAGTCAACCTGCTTTACTATTGTATCGCTGGTTACTAGACAGGGACAGCAAAAAATAACTACGGGACAGGTCATTCTGGAAGCTGTTCATTTGCTCCAATTATTTTAGCACTATTTTAAATGACTACTAATTAGCCTTTAACACTTTCAGGACCAGCCCATAGGGCCGTCGGTCATATACGACCGATGGGTTTCAACGCACTTTCAAACTAAATTTTTCTGCGCGGTTTGACATGCAGCACCATCTGCGTGGTATTTCTAACACAACTCTTCCATTTTTTTTAGTAGTTTGTTTTTTCTGGGAGGTGGTGGTGGACAATCGCAGTTCCTCTTGGGTGCGGTAGCGCCACCTGATGGAGAGAATGGCGTCAAGTCCGCGACACGGCGCGCTTGAAAAACGGCCCGGATCTCGCGATTCCGCTGCTTCAATGGCAGATTTCGTTGATAATACGAGCAGCGAAGAGTCTGAAGACTACTTTGGAAGTTCGGATTTTAGTTCGGACAGCGAGTCGGGGGACGATCAGCCTGGAAGTTCAACAAGTGGACCAAGGTTAGTTTCGCTATCCTTTCAGCTTGCTCTTGAGCAAGCTTGCACGGTCGTCAGACGTTATTGTGTTATGTTGATTTGGCAGGGTTTCCACAACGTACAACAACGACTTCCTGCCACCAGCGGGTCGTCTTTGCACCCCTCGAACACCTGGTGTTTATATCCCCGACTACGTAGGCGTGGCACTCGGGAGCGGACCAAGAAAATTTTTGACGGCCCTCGACTTCGCTCTTTTTTCAAAACTCAAGTGATCGCTATGCTATGTGAAAACTAACAAGTACGGCTGGACGAATATACTAGAAAAACCGACGCACGCTCATCCCGATGGTTCGTGGGAAGAGGTGACCCCGGATGAAATTTGTTGGCCTCATAATTTACATGGGCATTGTCAAGGTTCCACGTCTGAAGCTCTACTGGAACGTGGGTCAGCTCTACAGTGGCCTGCTCCCACGACGAATAATGCCCAGATGCCACTTCATAGCGTTGCTCGCTATGCTCCATGTTGCCGACTGGGACGATGTGAGCCAGCTATCGAGAGGAAAACTCCGGTTCGTGTGGTGGCTCATGGAGCATGTGAATCAAGTGTCCGCAAACCTTTTTCAGCGAAACCGTGATCTCTCCGTGGATGAACGAATGGTGAAATTCAAAGGGCGATCGGGAATCTGGCAGTATATGAAAGATAAGATTACAAAATGGGGCTATAAGCTCAGGGTCCTAGCTGATCCCGGCACTGGATCACGGTATTTACTTGCGGTACATTGAGAAAAGACCGGCGAGGATTTCTGGTTGAACTGAAAGACTCGCGATGGAAAAGCGCGACGTGGGGACCCAAGATGGCTCCGTGATCGCAGTATATTATACCTCCAGTGGAAGGACCGTCGTGTTGTCAACACGAGCACTAATGACACAGCCAATATGACCGACACAGCAAGAAAGGGAAATACTTGGGCTCAAATTTCTGTACCAAAGCCAATTCTTATACATGAATACAATGCTGGAATGCTAGGAGTAGATAAATCAGACCAGATTGGCTATTACAATGTCCTCATGAGAAGTGTTCGGTGGTGGAAGACACTCTTCTCCCACTGCATTGATATTGCCTGTGTGAATAGTTTCATTTCATTTCAAGCACACCGCGCATCACACCCAGATATCTCCGAACTTGAAAGAAAAGCTGAATACGACCACCTGGCATTCTCTGAAGAGCTCGTTTGTCAGATCAACATTCACAGTGCCAAGCCAGCACGCACTCCTCCTCCACTAAACAAATGCTCCACAAGCCCGAAAAGGCAGAAAGGCACAGAAGCTGCAAGCTGTGCTATAACAGCAAGAAAGTTGAACGCAAAACTGATTGTTTTTACAGAACTTGTGTTTTACAACAACTAGAAATTGTTTCTTGCAGTGGCATGAGAGCCATCAACTGCGACGGGCACACGAGTGTTCCGAGTGTGAAGCAGGCTGAGCAAAGGCAGTTGTAGATAGGCGGACCAATGTTTAATTTTAGAGAAAAAAGACGTTTTGCCACTTTTCGTATACGTTGAAATTTTTTAGTTTACATTTTTACTTGTATATGCATGCCTTTTAAAACTTTTGTTTGTTTTTCGTGACACTTTCTGTTTGACACTTTTTCATTATTATGTATAAACTTTTTCTGTGTAATATTTAGCATGCATCTAAAAGACCATTCAATTACCTTCATTTTGATATATAATACACGAGTATCTTGTATATCTGGCTTACTAAAGATATTCATCGTAACACTCTTTGGGACCGATTTTCCCTGGTCCCGAAAGTGTTAAAACAACTTCATAAAAGTGCTGTTTAAAGCACAAACACCCAATGAGATGTTATGCAAAAGCAGCAGTGAACTACACATACTTGAGATTTTTAATGTGCATCCAAACTTTAGTACAGCCAAAATCATTTTTTGATGTATAAGACACGTTTTCAATATTTGTGCTGGTGTGCCTTATATACTCGATAAGTTGACTTATGAGCTTGGTAAATTGTGCATGAGAGCATCCGTAAAAAGGTATCCAATATTAGAACAACGAAGCAGGTGTAGCTTTAGACGTTAGATACTTGTTCAAGCCTGGCAGCTATCAGAGAATACAGCTGCAATAAAAGCTGCCATCATGACACAAACAATTGTGCTGATCGGATGGTTCGTTCTTAGAATCGTAAACCAACAAAGCTGACGCAAAAAAGAATGAAGAGCACCACAATATATCATTGTAACGTAGCGCCCGCAATACCAGTTACAAAAAGGAAAGTACGACTCCGTTAGCTGTTTCCACATGAAGCATTGCTGCAGCCCTGTAGCAGTCGCAGCTTCCAGTTGCCATATACATTTTGTATGCGTGTGTACATAGTTGTCAATCACGCAATGTGATCGGTGTTCCCAGTAAGTCTCAATGCCACAATAAGGTTGTTCTCCAAGGTGCTTTCAATACTGCATCAAAGAGTTACTCAGAGTTTGACAAGAGCAACCTCGCAATACTGCCAAACGAGGTGGGAAAACTTTACACAGCACCACAGACTAAATCCTCTAGAAGAAAATAAATCGTTTTCTGCCCCTCCGGATGGCATTTACAGGCTTTATGGCACTGTGGGCAAACAAGTATTTCACAATGCACACTGCGTGCATTGCATTTCCTCATGTTCACAGCGTCAAAACGTTGAGCCTTGTATATCCTTTTTTACACGAATCATAAAAACTAAAGATGAATCTAATACACCGGAAAACAGTTATCACACACGCAGATACGGTTGCCCCAGCAGAGAATGGAACTAGCACATTTCTACCAAGTTTTTAGGTGCTAAACCCACAGTGGCTTCCAATGCACATACATATCGTGCACGTACCTCACCCAGTGCCCCTTCATTACTTCCGAAATGCGCCACCGACATGCCTGGGTACCTACAGACTGTCTTTTACCACTGCAGTGTTTCCTCATGCTTGCACTCGTGCAGTTTTGACTTGCGATGCAAGTTCGAGGAATGATCAGCTGCTAGTGGGGCAAGTTCATTTAGTAGTCCACGAAAAAGGAGCAGTGCTTCTGGGTGTTCTCTGTGCCGAAAGTTATTACTCAAAATTGATAACGCACATTGAAATTTTTCGAAAAGTACTGGCATGTTTGGCTGACGCAGAATAACAAATACTTGAAACTGCGATATATACGTCTTCAGGTGTAACTTCATTGAAGGTTAGTGCTATAGCCAAGCACTTACCTACAGTAATGCTCTACAAGTAATACTATAACTAAACACTGTGTGCACCATTTGCGGGTGTGCTATCACTCCATGTATAGTAGCTGTTGTGTTGCCGCACACAATTCCGGTGTAGTCTTAACAATATACTGTGCATACAAACTTGTCCGCGACCACAATCGGAGTGAGTGTCAGGGAGGCTGTTAAATTTTAAATGGCGATCACGGAAATTCGGGCATTGCATTAAAACAAAAATTTTTCAGGGGACTCCACTGTACATTAGCCTAAAACAAAAGTAAAATAAAAGGTGAAAAATGTGTCAAACATACTAAAAAAAAGTGAACGGCATCACTTCGGCATGCACGACGTAAAGCTAATCACCTGGCATAATATTTTCCTCTGCTGTTTTTCACAAATTACAATCAAAGAGGCTCAATCAGCACTGCTTAAAGCACTTAAGGGGGGGGGGGGCACTGCTACTTTGGTGGCGTGGGTCGCAGCAGTATATTATAAATCTCTTGTAAACTTGCCTAGCTCTGCACGACTCGTTTGCAATGGGAGCTGCTGCACTTCGCTAATGCACTCTTAAAATTGCGGCTCTAGAGACTGGGCCCTCGTAGGTCGTGGCAGGCAGCCGGTGTACGCGGTGGTTGGTATACATGTCGCACATCTGGATTTTCTGGTCTTGTATCAAGTGAACAAGCGAGGTCTTCCCGATCCGAAAACTACAATTCTGCCCTTTCAACATAGCACAAAGCAACAGATGAGCCCCCAACAAACTGCGCTGCAGCACGCAAACTGCTGTAGGTACATGGGCATGGCGGGAGAGGGCGAGAACGGCGGAAGTGACATCACATGAACACTAAGTATAATAAACACGTACAAGTAATGCTCCGAGTCTAACACTACGTGTGCATTATTTGCAGGGGTGCAATCACATCATGTGTAGTAGCTTTTGCCTTGTCACACACAATTCCGGTGTAGTCTTCAGTGGAAGAACGTCTCCGTTGCGTGCACAACACCGACTAGCTTTACTGCGAGGCCGCCATAGCAGCAACGGCCATTGATCAATTTCCTGCCATTGGCTCCGAGATGGCAGATGTGTTTTTATTCAACTGGGCCCTTCCAGTTAAACCATGTGAAAATTGCATTTTTGAACTATTCACCACATTCCCCATAGTAACGTCCGGCAAGTTTATTTTACGAAGCAAACAAACGAACAAGGAACATTTTATTGCATCTCTTGATGCACGGAAGGTTCTTTGTGCAGCTAGAAAGATTAATAGTGAGTAATTGTAGGTGGCTCATCTGGCATCATTTGGGATGATTTTGAATATGTCCTACTGCAGCACATGTACTCTTGTGCCATTTACCTAATTTCACAGTAAGTAGGGCACTGCTGTTGATATTGTCGTTTTAGATGCAATACATTGAGCTCAGACGTTAATGACTTAACAGCATGGCCGCTATGCACTGCCTTAGGTGAAAAACTGAATTTAGTATTTCGCTTTAGTTTGTCTGAAATGAAGGTTGTGTTTCAATTTTAATGCCCTGCCTGTCAATAGGCCTTTTTTTTTTTTTTTCGAGAGACTAGCCCGCGCATGCGCAGTGGCTGTGATGGCACACGCGCCATAGGCTTTTTTTTTTTTTCGGGAGACTAGCCCGCGCATGCGCAGTGGCTGTGATGGCACACGCGCCACGATTCTAAATGATACAAACTATGAAAATAGCGAATTGGTGCAAAATGCAACCAGTAAACATTAAAGAAATTGCTCCCACCACTATGAACAGGTGATGTTCGCAGCCAAATGAAGTAGTTGCGTCTAATATCACATTACAGGTGACAGTAAGATCACAGACGCAATAAAAAAATTCGTATAAGTAAAAAAAAAAAAGGCTGCGAAAATTGACGCCGCTTAAAAAAGTTCACGACGTAGGCAAAGCAGCCCGCAAGTGGTCTAATAGCTCAAGCAACTGAAATGACGCAGCTATCAATGGTGGTGGATTCTCTATGTGCTGCCCTAACAAAAAGGCGGGAGGGATAACGATTGGACAACGCTCAAAATGACAGCGCACACGAACCAGCAAGCGTCACTCGGCAGCCCCACAAGTATCTAAACATAACACCGCAAGCTAAAACCTAGATATGCCACTGCGATGCCCAAAAGCAATTCCTATCGTCGGTTGCATAATGAACGCGAAAGAAAAAAAAAAGAAAACCGGAAGACGCAGTGAAACTGCGAGAAAAATGAGTTAATATGGTATCATTGCGGAAGAAATGACTCGGCCACAACTACATGACTAATATTACTTAAAATTTCAAAAGAACCTAAAAACTTAGTCTGCCTGCACAAGCGATTCTCAAGCTCCTGCCAACGCAGTACCGCGAGTCAACAATGCAACAGCCCTCCCACACTACCACTACTAACACAGACGCAGCCTAAATCGAGTTTGTCGACACAGCACAAAGAAAAAAAGCAACACCGAGGAACTCAAACGCGCAACAAACTGCATGAAGGAATAACAGCGTACGTTAGATTTGCACGGCTTGCTCGTACTGGCCAAAAGAAAAAAAGTCCGCAAGCAATACAACTCTAACAGCGGCAGTGAAATAGGCCTAACAGTAGTTTTCATTTTAGGAGTTCTTCCGGAAAGTAGCAAAACGGACGAACAAACAAACACCCAACTGCAATTATAAAAAAAAAAAAAACTAAGTAGAACAAGCACTGAAACTTGCCTGAAGTCCAGCTCTCGCCGACCTGGATACTGCCTTGGCCTTCGCCTTTCCAGAGTCTTTCCCGGCTTTGCCGCCAGCCTACAAATCGAGAAAAATATGATGAAAACCAATATTTCGGGGCGAAATACGCTGCGAGAAACAATAATAATGCATAAGAGATAAACGAGGCGCAAACTTTGCAGCAAGATATTGGACAGTTGCAAAGGATTGCATGGATTTACCATTCTTCACAGAACAACTCGAACGTAAAACAACGACACGTCCAACAATCACCGCAGCGAACCGCTAATAACACCACCCGCCAACGACAAGCTGGAAACGGTTAATACAAAACTTCCCACGTGACCACAACGCACCAATCGAAGTACAGACGGAGATAATATGACAGGGTTATTTTCCAATCGTTTCACAAAAAAAACAGTTCTAATTTTACACGATCATTATAGTATTGTAAAAGTAATATAACTTCTTGTCTTTATTAATCATTTTTTTTAAATAAAAATTTTTTTATTACAATAATTTTGTTTTTGAGTTTTTTATTAAAAAAATAAGTTGAAGTAGGATTTCTTTTTTAATTAATATTTATGTAAAAAAGTTTTTGCATTTATAAAATATGTTAAATAATTGAAATGTAACTATGCTATGTCTTGGAAGCATAAGCGTAAAGTGCGTACTTGCGTCGTCGGCCAACGGGATCTTGTGTGTGTGGGCCATATCTGTGCCGATCAGGCAAAGTATGTAGGAGCGTTTCGGCTCCGTTATGGAAGGAAATAAAGAAGAAAGCAAGCGTTGTATTCAGCTGGCACAAATATACATTGCACAGGGACACAAAGAAAAGGCGCTTAAGTTTCTTCGAAAGGCAGAACACCTGTACCCATCAAAACTCGCTAAAGGTGAGCTATGGCTGCTGTATACAAGATCCACGTAAGCCTATGTTCCTGACGCAATTTCAGACATCTGTGCCCTGCTTACCAACGCGTAAAGAACGTTATCGAAATATCCACCAGTGCATGGTTGTGTATTTTGCTTCGAGACGAGTACTGTTGGTGTTATGGAGTGAGTTGACCCACATATGTATTGCCGACGACTAACAAAATAGGCCTACTGCGGTTTTTGCTAAGGAATAACCTGCCGAAACTGGAAGTAAAAGTTGCTTTCGTTGCTCTTCTGACAGCCGCGAGCATGCTCTTTCAAAGCTCTGCCTGATCAGACGCGAAGGCCAATCCGTTTGGTGTCATGGTAAAAGTTTTCTCAATTGACACAAAGAAATACAAGCGCACTGTTTTCCCAAAAATATAATTTGAAGGTCTCGCATACCTTCTATGCGAAGTCGGCGAAGCCAAGTATATTAGTGTGCCTTGGAATGTGTGTGTGTGTGTGTAGTCTTTGAAAAAAGTTTTGGTCATTTATACGACTCAAGGTTTTTAGAAGTTTCTTTTGACCAAGGTTATCGCCTGAGTGCTTTGGAAGAGGTTCAGGTGTACTGCTATTTCTTGCCACTGGGCATTCGTGCTTGCTATAGTAACCATTCACGATTGAGCTGCAAAGTATTGGATGGCGCTATGGCTTAAGTTGCATTTTCTTCCTGCGCGCCCGTGCTTCCTTGTTCCAAGGACGTTTTTATATTTCGCACTGTAAGTTTACACATGGTATCGTGCTTTCCGTATGTGCCACTAGTGCTGCTGTGCAATGAAGCATTGTATTATTAGACATCGTCTATTATAAAATCTGTGTGTATTCTCACTAGTGTCAAATGTGGCATTACTAGGGTATGAATTGTGAAAGCTTTGGGGAGAACACAACAGATGGTAGTCGAGGGCAGTAAAGTGGCACCAGTGTCCATGCAAGTATTATTTTTATAATGCAGCGGATAGACACGCGTACTTGAAAGATTTGCTGGTTTCTTTCTTAACAACTGCTGCTGGCCATGTGTAGGTCTCTCTCTTGTTCTAATCCGCGTCGAAGCTGTGCGTTCAAGTACCCAAGTTATATGTAACGTAGGTAACTTGTCAGCAGTACCTCTCGCTGGCGTTTCCTTGACAAATTTTTAGTGTTTGAGGCACCTAGTAAAATAGCAATTTTGTTGCACTGAGTAATAAAACCTTCCCGAAGTCAGCGGGGGATGTGGAATACGACTAGCAGCCAGTGTTTAATATGAGTAGAATGCAAACGCACAGCCATCATTATGTAGCATTTGTAATCACATTGTTGGGTGGCCTTCTTAATGTTCCACTTTTAGCATGCATTAATGCATGTCTTGTGGTTAGAGGTTCTTGTGGATGTTTCAGTTCAACCATATTCCGCGTTGTGTGAGGCCACATTGAGTGAGTATATTCGGCATTGAGTGAGGCCACTATTGAATTTTGCATCGGCGCATTCAAATATTGTTCAATCAGGAATAATGATGTACTTACGCTCGGCAAAGAAAAAAAGAAAACTTGGGCAAATAACATGAGCAATAATTTCGAGCTGCAAAAAGTTGCAGTGTCCTGCCTATATTATATTGCATCTGTTTGTGAACAGCTTATTCACACTGCAATCGGACAACCTTCACTCGCGAAGAAACTAGGAATGTTGTAGTTATTCTATGCTTACGTTCTCCACAGTCAGAAAGGAAGTTCTAAACGATACAAGGTGAGGGTTACGTTTTCCGCATCGTTAGCTTAGTAACATTTCTTTCATAGAGCGCTAAAGGTCGCAGGGGTCTGCAGTAGGCAGAAAAAAATTGCAATGACAGGCATGCCAATTGTTCTTTCAATTGTTTGCAAGAGTTTCTTACCGAATTCCTCTTGTGTTCACATATATACATCGGTCAGACAGATTTATGTGTCAGCTAGCGCTTCAGAGAGCATCAAAAGCCCTTGAATGAAGCCAACTCATCTCATCTCGCAATTTCATTCATGCAAAAGCAATTTCATCTGTGAAGGTCTGGTAATCTTGCAATCAACCTAACCAGACCACGTGAGAAATCTCTGGATGGCAACAGCTTAAAAAGATTTTTCCCTCCCCCTTCTTTTTCTTCCGTGCCCCTCTGTAACAGACCTCATAGAGCAGCTGCAAAAGCTAAACGGCACAACAAGCTGTGATAGCAGCACACAGGGAAACAACAACCACCACAATTCGCGCAGTTCGTCTCCTCAGGGGCAGCCTGCTTCACCAGGGGTTCGACATCGAGCTCGACCTGCAGGACGTGACAGTTCCGAAGAACGTCGTGCAATAGAATATACCAAGGAGCAGATCGAGGCAGTTCGAAGGTGGGTCGGCCACTTTTGATGTGCTGGCTGAAAGGCCTTTCCGCCAGGAAAAGCTTTACTCACGAGTTTAAAAACATTTAGGAGGGTACTATGAAAAATGTTGCCACAGTTTACTTGTAGACTTGCGATGCATGTCCTGGCGATACGTAGTTCAGCCACATCACTAGTTTTTAATTGCAGTGCATTGAAAAATATTGCTGTCTAGATTTTTTTTTTTGTGTGCAAATTATATATTTGAAAGCACAGTTTGTATATCACTGTTTCTAGTGTGTTGAAAGAATGTGTAAATGGGGGTTGTGTGCTCGAGCGGACGTTTTGACAAGTGGACTTGTCTTCTTCCAGGCCAGAAAACAAGTCAACCTGTCGAAACGTCCGCTCTAACACTAAACCCCTGCTTACAGTTTTTTCATCGCAAGTTTTAATCTTCCCCGTCCTTTCATTTTTGTCCTTAGTGTGTGGAATTCGAAAAGACAAGCTTGACCTTTTATTCATCCTCCATTAAGTCTTTCTTGTGCAAATGCAGCTAGAGTTGAAGTTTGTTGCTTTGCCTTGGTTTCGTTCCGTATTTACTCATACAGGTCGACCCTTACATGATATGCTCTTCTAAAAATAAGAAAAAAAATTATTTTAATATAAGTCAACTCGTATTTTTTGAGGAACTGAAAAATTGAGACATCACATACCTGTGTCTATGATTAGCCCAGCTTGTAAGAATAATACAAAAAACCCATTCCGTGCAATTTTTCCACGAGTGTAAGCATCACTTCGTAGACCTGAATTATCTTGACTTTAGGTGAGAATGGAATCGCATTCAGTGATGATGCCATTCATTCTCATTTCCATAATTTTATCCACCAACGAAACGTGCAGCTATGGTGGTTGAGTGGGAACTGTGGTTGGCAGCATTCACGATGATTTCTGAACATTTTTATTAGAGTTTATAATGCTTTTTTTATTTTGTGGTACGTGAATTCGCTGCAAATATCAATGTGTGATATACAACTGTATGTGGTACGGCTAGAAGAAAGGCGGGCCCTACAGGGGAACTGCATTATCTTGGTAATTTTGTTAACTTTGCTCACAAATATTTGTTGTTTCTTTCGTAACGAATTGAGGTCAGTAGATAACTATGGGTGAAATGAAGTTGAAAGCTGGTTGGAGTTCTGCATGGCTGGGTAATGCAATGAAGAAAACACAGCACTGACCAAAGTAAAAAAATATTTTTGAAAAGACGTTTGGGCTCTCACACTGGAGCCTTGTTCGCAATCTGAACAAGGCTCCCGTGTGGTAGCCAAAATGCGTTTTTGCTTTGGTCTGAACAAGGCTCCATGTGAGAACCGAAACGTCTTTTTAAAAAGATGTTATTTCTTTGGTTGGAGCTGTGTTTTATCTGTGGTTTACATTTCCGAAGAACAAAATAAAAAGGTCAACCTAAATTTGAGTGAATTCGGTACAAACCTTTCATTTCCCTTTTAATCCTGTCTTTATTGTGCATTGTATGTTTGATTTTTCTGTTGCAAAACAGGTTGTGCTGTGCTAACATCCTAGCTGCAAACACTGCAGGAGAAGACAACTTTGTTGCACAGTTGAACTGTGTGGTTATTACTTGTATCCTATTAGCGTAGCATGTAGATTGTTACCACGAAGCTTGGTTTCTATGCCGTTTGTGACAGTCATTATAGTCGCCACCAAACAGAGATGGCCAATACAAATGGCCATCTCTGTGCTGGTGTTTGTGTTGTAATTACTGTGATGTTCAAGAACATCCTGACAATTTTTTTTGTTTCTGAATCTGTACTCATCTAAGTTTCAAAGATATCAGCTAGAGTATGAATTTTCTGATCTTCTGTGATTCGTAAATATCATGACAGGTGTCCGGAAGAGAATACTAAAGGGACCCTGAAATACTTTTTGATCTTAGCCTGAAAAGGCTGTTTTTTTAAATGTCAAGACTCCTGTAAACATGTGAGCCAAACATAGCACTGCATGCAACAGGGAATTGACAATTTAATGTAAAAACTGCAGAAAATTGCTTACTTCCTTCTCGGCAAATCGCCTAGCTGACAAGAGCAAGTTGTAGCATGTTAAGTATTGGCTGATTTCATGCCCGTGCTGGTCCTATGCGCATTTGAAGCAGACGTATGTTCCGATACGATGAAAGAAAAAGAAGACAAAAGGCCATATCCGTGGCACACGGTAACGTAACTAATCGACCACACTTCAGCCTCTTGTCACCTTTTCTTATGTAAAGCCTCCAGGTGTAGCATGCTATCTGTGATGAAATGACAGAAATTATGCATTTTATGTGATAACATCACTTGGTGTATTTAAAAAATTCTCGCAATAAGGACTTTGCGAGGCTCCAGGGTTCAGTAGTAAGGTTTTCCTATGATAACTTGGAGAGGTGTTCCAGGACCCCTTTAACCTTTTAATTTCTCAATGATAAAACTGCCAAAAAACAACATTGTTTTCATTTTGCAGCGTTAAATGATTCTATAGTTAAATGGTTTAAAATGCCACTTTAATGCATACCTTTATGTATGTCATGAATTCTCCATATGTCACAAAAGCAACGACCTTGGAATTAAAAACGTACTTCAAAACGTCATAGCGTTTCATGTGCCACCTCTTGGGTACATACACATGAAATAAAAAAATTATTGTTGATAGAACTTACGCAACTCAGGCGAAAAAGAATGAAGAAGTGAGAGCTGTTGTATGTGCTTCTTGCTCTCCGCCATCAGCTACATAACATTTGGTTTGAGCATAAAATGCCTTGGACGAGACAGTGGCAGATTTTTCATGCTGAAAGCTCTACTTATAGCGAGTACTTGACAGCCGGCGTTAAAGGCGGCATGCATTTCTTGGCTTGCTTCCTCGAAGTTTCTCGGTATGTCGTGAATTCGCAACATTCGACAGTAAAGGGTTGAAGATCACAATAGTGGGAAGGATGTGCCATGTGCTCTAGTTGGTCCATTTCAATGAAGCTGCTACATCTTTGTTACAAATAAGGCTGCTGAGAAGTTGTAGTTAAAGGGGCCCTGGACACTTTTTTGAGTAACCATGGAATTAAATCACTGCAAAAGCGTATTAACTCACAAATTGAATGCCACAAACATTTTAAGAATCCGTCCAGTGCGAGCAGAGTTACAAAGATTTGTCACACGCTGCAATCACATTCTCGTTGCAACGAAAGTGCTGGAAGCTGAGCAGGGAGGGATGGAAGGGGCAAACAAAAAACGTTACTCGCACCTCGTGACCTTGAGCATTTTTTCTTTTTTTTTTCCCCTTCAAATACGCTGTTTTTTCAGTGTGATTGCGTGTGGACAAGTGGAGGCCTCTTGCGGCGACCTCTGTAACAGCCGAGCTCGCCATATTCAAATCAGCCAATGGCTGATAGATCGGTTTACTGGGCTTATTTTTCTTGATTGGTTCAGAAAAGAGAAAGCTATTTTTAGCTGACCGATAATTTATTGTGAATTCTAGGCCGCGTGCTGCGCTATAATATTTGGCTCGCGTGTTGTTGGGGGGCCTCTACTACCGATCGGCAGCGTTTTCTGACCATTCTAGGTCTGACCAATTTAGGCGCTTTTTTCTGTCCTTGTTTTTTTTGCTTCCGTAGTTACGAAGTAACTACTTCTAGGTTGCGCTGTTCCTGCATTCAGTTATGCCCAAACAAGAGCAAGATATTCATGCTTTATTGAATAGTTGCGCTCGGCAGCTGTGAGAAGGCGGCTAGCGTAGGCGATAACTCAGTCGTGTCCCCACTGGCGTAGGGCTAGGACGGCTCCAATGCGGTGACCACTCACAGCGGTTCGGACTTCTGTCGGAGCGGACGGGTATAGGTATAGGTGAGGAGAGTGATGAAGTAAGAAAAAGCGGCAGCTTGAGCCAAACTCCACGTAAAAGTCGCGTCTTTCTTCAGAAGATCGGTGAGTGGTTGAGCGATTGTTGCAAAGTCTTTCACGAACCTTTTAAAATAGGAAAGTCCCACAAAGCTCCGGACGTCCTTTACAGACGGGTACAGGAAAGCTCGTGACTGCACGAATTTTCTCTGGGTAGGCTGCACACCTGATGCGTCGACAAGGTGGCTCAACGTCGTTATCTGCTGGCGGCCAAAGTGACTTTTCGACGAGTTTAGTTGAAGGCCAGGTGCGGAAGATGTTGAGAACCGCTGAAGGTGTGTCTCAAATGTAGGCGAATATACAAGGACATTGTCCAGGTAGCACAGGCATGTTGACCACTTGAACCCTTGTAATAGCGAGTCCATCATACGCTCAAACGTGGCTAAGGCGTTGCATCACCTTGAATTGGTATAGGCCGTCGGGAGTTACAAACGCAGTTTTTTCTTGGTCTTTCTCGTCCACTGCTATCTGCCAATAGCCAGAATGTAGGTCAATTGAAGAAAATTATCGCACGCTGTGAAGACAATCGAGGGCATCATCGATTCGGGGCAAAGGATAAACGAGATTCGATTAAGATGGCAGAAATCAACGCAGTAGTGCCACGTGTCATCTTTCTTTTTAACGAGCACAACAGGAGATGCCCAAGGGCTCAAGGAGAGTTCAATAATTCCTTTGGATAGCATGTTGTTGACTTCTTCTTGAATTACCTTACGCTCTGTGACAGACACCCGGTATGGTCGGCAGTGAATGGGAGGAGAATCGGAAGTATTAATGCGGTGCTTAACGAGGGAAGTCTGACCGAATGGACTACTGTTGATGTCAAATATGTCGCGGTAGGAAACTAGAAGGGCGGCATAGAGCGTCGGATTGGTCAGGTTTGAGTTTCGGGTCGATCATGGAGCGCAAGGCCACATTGAGGGATGTGGCATCCTGCGGGCGACATGGAAGATTGGAGCATGCGTCTGCCGCAAAAGCGGTGACGTGGGCGTGTATTAAGGGTCAAAGCGTGGCGACTGAAATTCTGTGTGGTAGTACTTGCTGCCTGAAACCGAAATTGATAACGGGCTGACATGTTTGGTTAGAGGCCATGGTTAC